AGGTCCCCCTGAGCCTCCTTGGCTCCAGGCTCAGCCCCTTCCCAGCTCCCTCAGCCCCTCCCGGGCTCCATTCCCTTCCCAGCTCCCTCAGCCCCTCCCGGGCTCCATTCCCTTCCCAGCTCCCTCGGCCCCTCCCGGGCTCCATTCCCTTCCCAGCTCCCTCGGCCCCTCCTGGGCTCCATTCCCTTCCCGGCTCCCTCAGCCCCTCCTGGGCTCCATTCCCTTCCCAGCTCCCTCAGGTGCTCCTGGGCTCCATTCCCTTCCCAGCTCCCTCGGCCCCTCCCGGGCTCCATTCCCTTCCCAGCTCCCTCGGCCCCTGCTGGGCTCCATTCCCTTCCCAGCTCCCTCGGCCCCTCCTGGGCTCCATTCCCTTCCCAGCTCCCTCAGAGATTCTCCATTCCCTTCCCAGCTCCCTCAGCCCCTCCTTGGCTCCAGGCTCAGCCCCTTCCCAGCTCCCTCGGCCCCTCCTGGGCTCCATTCCCTTCCCAGCTCCCTCAGAGATTCTCCATTCCCTGCCCAGCTCCCTCGGCCCCTCCCGGGCTCCATTCCCTTCCCAGCTCCTTTGTCCCTTCTCTGGACTCAATCCATCACAGGACTCGGTGTCCCCACAGTGCCACGGTCTGGCCAGGCAGCTCCCCACACCTGGACCAAAATTATGGAATTTCGGAGCCATTGGGGTTGGAAAAGCCCTGCCAGGCAATGAAGCCCAACCACTGCAAGGCCGCCACTGATCCGTGTCCCCAAGAGCCACCAGCAAGGACAGATGTCCCACTAAAGCCATCCCAATGGGAAAATTTGGCTGAAATTACAGAATTTCAGAGACAAAGGGTCGGAATAACCCTCCCAGACCATCAATCCCAACCAAGGCCAGGAAAACCCTTGGGAATGAGGAGCCACAACATCCTGGCATGGGGAACGTGCCATCCAAAAACCTGGGACTGGCCACAGAGGCACAAACCAGTGCTAAACCACAACGTTTGTGATTTACAGTTAATGATTGAAGTTTTAATTGAAGAGTAATTGAAGATTGAAGTTTCTCAATCCGGTTCTTTGGGAATGTGCCTCTCCTGGAGTGCTTTTATTATTGTTATTGATTGATACCAGCTCTGAGAGAAGAACTTGGAGCTGCTGGCGGGTGAGAGATTAATTAATTCTCAATTCTGACCCTGATCCTCCTCTGTGGAGGAGAGGAGCTTCTGCTGCCCTGGAGATGGAGAAATCCTTTAAAATTTATCATTTCCTGGTGCCACAGAGCCCACAAAAAAAACCCACCAAGGTGTTTGGGCCAAGGCAAAATCCCGACCCTGATCCTCCTGTGCTGAGGAGAGGAGCTTGTGTCGACCTGAAGATGAAGAAATCCTCCAAAATTCATCATTTCCTGGGGCCAC